ATGGGGAGGCCTACAATTATGTCGAGCAGTTAATGTATTTCTATCCCCGACTCGTAAACATTAGTTATAGTATCGATGGACAGGCAGTGGCCGACCTGTACTTCGACGGTCTGTCCAATGCTACCGATCCGGATGTGTTGAGACAAACTATCGGTCGAGTGTTTGGGGATTTCCGGTTCACGTGTCCCACCAAAGTGTACGCAAAGAATATTGTGACAAATTCTGAGGCCAATAATACCCGGGTATTCGAGTACTACTTCAACGCTAAGTTTACAGCCGGCGCTCAGCTGTTCTGTTCCGATTGGATGGGTGTTTGTCATATGGATGACGTCTACCCTGTGTTTGGGCTACCGTTCCAGGAGTACGACCGGTACAGCCATAGAGAGCGTGAAATGTCGGCCCAAATGATTGACATATTTAGTCGATTCGCGTGGGAGGGAAAGCCTACCGAACAGTCAGGTGCTGAATGGCGTCAATACTATGAACTCAATGATAGAGTGATTGCTCCTTATTATGAGTTCTCTATTGAACCCAAAGTTAACACTAATTTCGGTCTCAATGTTAAGTCAATTGATTGCGAATACCTTTGGTACCAATATATTGAATGAAATAATAAATTGTTTCATAATAATATTGAATTTTTACAATGATACTGTAATTACATGTTAAGCAAAAATATAAATGAATGTTGGCAATAAATTATACTGATCACTTCACTTGAATCATTTTATTATTATTATTTTTTTAATTTACTGGTTTCAGGCAAGAAGTTAAACAGTGACAGAAAAATATGTTTTCATGTGTTTTAAGTTTATTTATATTGGCTTCAAATTCCGTATGATTTGCGAAAATATTCCTATTGATAGCCCACTCCTCACATTGAATCTCTCGGAATATATCACACGAAATGAAATACTCGACACAATTCATGGTATATCCTAATGAACTACTGATGATATACTTGTGGTTTTATATTATGAATAATCCGGAGATGGTCTGGAGTTATATAAATAGGAATTTTCTATTAAGAAACCAATGTGTTTAACCATTTAATTTATATCTTACTTGTTAATATTAATATCAATTACAATTTATAATATTTATAAATACAGTATACATATGTATTATACTGACTTAATTATTGTTAATGAGGTATATTGTGAATATAATGTTTATGTATTATTTTACAGATTTATTGAATAATAATAGTCTCGAAAATCTTTGTGTAGTAATAATATTTTATAATTGACAATGAAATACACAGACATGAGATAAAGTAGTTACACATACCTCGATAACACTTTAACAAAGACTACATTATTAAATACCTTTGGACTAAACATACAATAAATAACATATTTATAATATTATTTGATATAAAATTTTGTATAAAAGAATATTCTGTATAATAATGAGTGAGTATTATGTTACAAATTGTTTGATATTTTAATACAAAGGCCATTGAATTTCACTGAATTCCGTTTGTCCTCCCATTCCACCGTCCGCTTCCAGAATAGACATCTATATCAACAAAATTAAATAACTATAAGACATCTGTTTATTAAGGGTCTGATCACAAAATACATACAATCAAACTGATGGCCGCCTCATCGGTCTCCTCATTCATGTGATTCTGTGTTTGCGATACATTGCCTACCAGTTCATTAATGGCTGAGTTGTAGTGAACCCGATGATTATTCACACCATTCATGCTATCATTACTCAAACAACTGCTCCCATTATTGTCACCACTCGTACTACTACTATGGTTTGAGTTGAGGAACCGGATGCTGTGGGCAGGGATGGGCTCTAACTGAGATATATCCGCCAGAGAGCTGTTGGACATACTCGGGATGGATGGCAACGACAGGCTATCGTAGGCCTGATTATCAACACCGCTATCATAGGACGAGGTGTTGGTTACGGTAATGGATGTGAGACTCGGTTGACAGGACTCATGGTCCGACGACATGGACTTCCCGCTGATGGCCGATGAGTTGCCATTGAGGGAGCCGACAGCCGACGTGTTGCTGGTGTCCAGACTAGAGGGCGGGCTATTGGACGAGGACTGAGAGGAACAGGAGGATGAGGTGGAAAACTCGTCGGCCCTTCGCTGGGCCTCCAGAACCTCTTCAGCTATTTGTTGACCGATTTTAGAGTGTTTTATGCGATTCGTGAAGAATTTCTTGACAATAGAAGTGGCGGACAATGGACTCAATGACTGGTTTGAAGACAACATCGACTTAATGGATGAGTGCGTAGATGTAGTGATCAGCCCGTCCTCGGTGGTCGACGACTGGGACGACCATTTCGAGTGACATTTGTGTTTGTGCTTAACAGTTGTCTTGACCTCGAGATTACCATTCTTTGCCTCAGACTTACGATGACTTAGATTAGTTGTCTCTTCTTTAGGTGCTGTCGTAGAGCACAGGGATGTCTTGTCGTCAGGTGTGGCCACGTTCTCGCTGATGGCGATCAT